CCTGTCATGACAGAACCGGAGTGAGAGAAGGAAGGCTGAGATCTGAAAAAGAGCAGGTAGGCTTCCTTTCAAGCCACTCTGCCTACACCCTCCTCCCACCCTTTCCTATGGGCAGTATCTGTAGCATCCCTCCCCCCCTCTCCCTTTTGCGCTCTCTCTTCCAGGAGGAACCTTTGCAAATGGGAGGAGCCTTTGCAGGTAAGGAGGAGGCTCCTGCCATGATGGGCAGCCCTCTGTCACTTCCACTACCCACCCAGCCAGCGAGGTGGGAGGGTTCATAGGGGGTGAGGGTGGTGGTGTATTGGTTTTTACTGATGTATAGATTGGAAGGTTCACAGGAGCCTATCACAGGAGATGTCATTTTTGCGTAGTTTCAAAGATAAAGGTAAAGATTTCCCTTGCTCGAAAGCCAGTCGAATCTGACTCAAGGGATGTGGTGCTCATCTCCGTTTCAAAGCCGAAGAGCCAGCGCTGTCCAAAGACATTTCCGTGGTCATGTGGCCGGCATGACTAGATGCTGAGGCACACGGAACACTGTTACCTTCCCACCGAAGCGGTACCTATTTATCTACTTGGAATTTCTTGCTTTCGAACTGCTAGGTTGGCAGGAGCTGGGACCGGAGATGGGAGCTCACTCCGTCATGCGGCACTTGGGTCTCAAACTGCTGAACTACCGACCTTCCGGTCTGCAGTTCAGCGTCTTAACCACTTGAGCCACCACATCCTCTTTCTTAGGACCCAGCAAAATGACACAAAACAGCAGTTGCATCCTTCACACAGCACTGAAACCAGGGAGGGTGGAATCAGGCAGGAATGGTGTCCACATTCCCCACTCCTGTTCCGCTTGCTGCTGCTGAGCCCTCACCCCATCCTTCCACCGTTTCTCAAAAGAGCATATGCGGCAGCCATCACAACACACACACAACCCTTGTATCCCAAATCCCCTCTTTCCCGATAAACTTCGCTGCAGTGGAACTTAGCTCAGCTGCATTTCCACTGGAGCTGTGGGCAAAGGGTCCAGACGCTACTGCACTACTGCAAGACAAGTACCAGTTTTGGAGAATGGGTTAAATCAAGAAAGCAGCTGAGGAATCCAGAGGTATGAACCTCACAAAGAGATATGGGAAATATCTGCCATGAAGCATGTCAGATTTGCATTTCTTGTCTATAAATGAAAGTACCTGCCCAGAGAAGTGTGCATTGCCACCTGCTGCACAGAAGGGTCACAGACAAACATGGCTCAGTATATAATTATATGATTATAATTGGAGGGGGGCTGTGGCTCAGTGGTGGAGCATCTGCTTGGCATGCAGACGGTCCCAGGTTCAATCCCTGGTATCTCCAGTTAAAAGACCTGGCAGTTAAAAGACCTGGCTGTCAGTCTGAGTAGACAATACTGACTTTGATGGACCAAGAGTCTGATTAAGTATAAGGCAACATCACGTGTTTTCATGTTCATTTATACCCC